TGATCTACACCAAGATTGTCACTCGTTGAGTTGTGGTGTTGATACGAACACTCACGTGATCGATCAGATCGGAAACGACATGACGCGGAACCAAAGATCAAAATTTTAATGCAAGCGGGAACTGGAATTTTCCACGCCGCAGAATAGTATATTTGCCCCTGGTGACATATCATTGCCGGGCATCAAATTTCGAAAGAATGGCTTCCAACGTGATTTCCTAGGTTCGTGGATTTCACTCATTAATGTCGGTGCTTGGTGCTTGGCATGTTTACGTGCTTAAACGGATGTAGTGGGGGTGAGGCAGCTTTCGTACACGTCAGCCCAACGCCGTGTCAGAAACACGAGCAAATGTAATTCAGCTTCTTGGTCTCCCCACGCGTTTCGTTTTCAACTTGGACGCTAAGGGCGTGAGTATTGGATCTCGTCCTTAAAAAAACGACTTGCTGTCCGCATTGGATTTTCGCGAGACGCTTTGAGACGCTTGCAGACGATGGACGCTCTCGCCTCCTCCTAGCACCTTGTAGTATTATTGCAAACGCGGCCCATAAACCTCGGGACCCCGAGCTGTAATTGTTGTAATCACTCTCAAATCGATTCACTCTCTTCCGCAGTAACGGCAGCGTGTAAGGGAACAGTAATTACGGCTGTAATTTGGCGGCTCATCAGGAGCCGAAAGAAGAAAAAAAAAAAGAAAAAAGTACTTGATCTGATTTAGTCGCGTGAGTGTTTGTGTTGGCGACGTCTGACTGTGTCTGTGGTGATGTTGGCGTCGAAGTGTAGGTGGTGTGTCACTTGTTGTGTCCCCGAGAGTGCGCTCGTGGTGTTTCGATCGTCCTCCTGTTGTCACTGGTGGGTGTCCTCTGTTTTTCTCCTCACTTCTTCACCCCTTCACTCTCATCTCTCACCCTCTTCTTCGCTTCACCCTTCTGCTCACTTTCTTGCTTCTTGTGACCACACTTTCTTGCTTTTGTGGTACGTTTCGTCGTCTGTGATGGCCTGTTTCTTTTTTCTTTTTTATTGCGGCGATTTTTTGTATGATCGCATTTAACTTCTCCATTTTTCTTCGTGAGTTTTTTAATCGAATCATGTTATCGAATTCTTACCGGGGGGGGGGGGGGGGGGGGGGGGGGGTGTTGTTGTACAAACCGGAGTTTTTGCTTTCAAGATAACTTACGATTTGCTCAGAAGTTATTAAGCTCTTTTTTTTTTTTAGGGCGATTGATCATTACGCCAGTCGGGTTTGTGCAACAGTTTATTATCACCGTTTAACGAATTTCCCTTTTCGAGTGCTGCAGTGGAGCTGAGACTTAAAGAACGAGGTTCACGTCTTAATGATTTAAGAAGAGTGAACTTCGATTCGAATTTTTTTTAAGTTGATTCTTTTTCTTTTTTATCAGCCGCTTCTAATATAGCAAACCAAGAGCCGGATTCGTTGAGGGAGAAAAAAAAGGGGATAATGGAAGCGCATGTCTTCTTAATGGACTAAGCGCTAAGCCTGGCTTTTTTGCTGCTCGTGAAATTGTCTGGACTCGGAATCGTTCAGTGGTGACACTGCCGTCGCCGTTAAATGCCAAGCAAAACTGAAAACAGCATCCTTGACGAGGTCAAGCCTTGAGGGAGCTGGATTCTTCGCGACAAATCCTGTAAGCTCCGCGAGAGAAAAACGAAGTGACGTAGACTCTTCGATCAACTTGTGTCAATCAGCGCTCGAGGTTTTGTGTTTCTTTGTTTCGCCTCATTTTGTAGTTTGGTTCATTTAGTTTTATTTACTTTATATTTCGTGACGAAAAGGTTCGAGCTTCGTTCCTGTCAGCTTGAATTGTCTCTTAACCCCCTATTTCGAGACGTTTGTTTTTGTTTTCTTTTCATTTACTTAGACTTTGTTTTCTTTGCTGGTGTTCAAAGCAGTTACTGGCTTCGCCGCCCTCTGGTACTAAGTGGAGACGACAGTTGGTGGCGACACTTTAGTAGGAGGTAACCGTGGCAGGGTCGTTTTAATTCATCTTGTTTCGTTGGTTTGTTAGTATTCGTCCTTCTCGGTAGCTGGTTTACTTTTCAAAATAGCTGACTGGCACTCTATAATTTGGAGTTATTTTTTTTTTTTTTTCAAGGGTTAATGTTTCGTTAAACTTTCCTTTGGCAAAAAGGTTTTTTTTTTTTTTTCTTTTTTCTTTTGTGAACTGGCGAGCTGCTTTTTTGCGTGTGTTTAACCTTTCAATTTCAAACTCTAGGATCTATTACCTTGGCCAATATGTACGGCTTTGAAATTTAGCATTCATAGTGAGTCAGACTTCGAACCTGTCCAGAAGCCAAGATCAGCGCACCTTCGTATGAACTCGCTAGAGACACCGGATCTTGATTTGGCGTGAGAATTGCTGCTGAGGAGTTGACGCCTAAACCACATCGATATGTCCAGTGGTCAAGTATTGAAAGAGATCCGTTTCTCGCTGGGAGCGCAGGCCCGCGATGCCCGATTTCCGAAATTTCTTTACGGGTTTCCACTTTTTGTTTCTCTCGCTTTTATTTTTCCCGTTTCTTTTTCGTACATAGGGTTGCAATTCCAGCAGCTGTGAAGCATGTGGCATCTTTGGTGCAGCGCTATTTTTTTTTTTTTTTTATTATATTATTTTTATTGTACGCAAGTTTTCGCTTTGGAGGAAGTCGTCCTCATCGCTCTGCAACGAACGCGTAAATAACTGTCATTTACTCTAAATTCGTATCGTTAAAATCTAGAATTTAGTTTTAGTTTGCATCTTATTCTTCCTACTACCTCGATTCCCAAATAAGCGAGGGTAATCCGAGTTGCTGAAGACCGGCAATGTCTTCTGCTTACGTGACGTCGGATAGCACGTCGCGTCCGTTGTGCCGATGATGGCGAGGACTTCCGGGCTGTGCATTGTGTTGGCTCCTCTTGCCTCTTGATGTTCAACGTCACTTCCCCCTCCTTCCTCATCATGCACTTCCAACGCGTGCCCGATCTCGATCCCACTTTCTCTTTTCTTCTCTCCACCTTCTTGCCTGATGCATGCTCACCCCTTAGATAACTGGTCCTTCTAAGCGTGGCCTGCTCTGTACTTAGCAAGCCTGACAAATCTCAACGGCAAGAGCGCTGACGAAAGCAAACAAGAAAAAAAAGTAGAAAGGGCTAGAAGTTTCGTAACTTCGTAGTTCTTGAATTCGCCACCACCGCCGCCTGACGCTGAGCGCCCACGTATAGTCGGTTGCAGGTTAAGATGGGCAGTACAGGCTGCTCCCACAAAGTGCTTCACCCTTTCCACTTTAGCGGAGCGAACGCTAGAGAGGAGAGTGGAGTGGAGTAAATGACACATTATGGCGATCGGAGATCTTCCTGAAACTGACATATCCTGTGTAGTCTGCCAGACTGGGCCCATGCACTCGCTCCGCTTCGTATCTTGTTGCTCCCGCTTTACGGACAAGGTTAAAAAATAAAGGATACTACTTTTAATATTCGCCGCGAGGTTTGCGTGGCGCTGTGCGCGTAACGTTTTGCAAAGCCTTCCCTCTCCCCTTTAGCCGACCGCGGCATCCATTTTGCCTCTGTCGCACTACTGCTAGTACATAGGACGCTATGATCGCTACCTGATTCGGCGACAACCACACTTTTCTCTGAAACGGTCATACTTCGAGCAAGGAATTTTGTTTGCTTGTTTTCAGTTATAGAGTTGGATGTGAACGTCTGGTGCAGTTGCGGATTTGTTCGCGCACATTGCCTTTTTAAGCTTATTTTGTGATTTTTTTTTCTTGCTTCCTTTTGAACAAGCGGCGTTTGGTGTCATTGCTTTTTTTTCACTGTTGCATCTTTTGCTTGTTCTGCATTTCTCCGAAATGTCGCTGCCGAGTCGTTGCTTTCCTTCTTTTCTTTTTTTTTTTTGTTTTTTTTTTTTTTTTTGTTTCCTTGTTTTAGTTTTGTATATTTTTGTTACTTTTGTTTAACGAAGCCTTGCGCTTTCCAGTTAAGATTTGAGCACCTTGTAAGATTTTGGAGAAGCGTTTGTTTTTAGCCCCCGGTTTAGGCAGTGTGTTCTAGCTAGCATTGAGGCTCTTTTTAACATTAAAGGCTACATCTTTCGAGATGTATAGACGCGGGTAAATTGGTGGATGCATCTGAATTATTCGCCTCCTATTCGACGCCTTTAACGACGAAATTTTCCGATTTCGTCGATCCCAAAGAGCGATCCCAGGCTACTATTTTCAAGGCGCGTAGAAATGCTGACTCCCATTTGTACGCGCATGGAGGTAACTAACAGAAAGAGCACCGTGAAGCTTCGCGTTAGCTAGCGCCGTCTAGTGGCGACGTCGTACGATAGAAATAAGACAAAAAAAATTAACCTTTTGGAGTCACCTGGTTAGCTTGCACCATCGAATGGTGTCAGGCCTTGAAACCACTACTAGCATAGCGTCTTTTTTTTTTTTTTCATTTTTCATTTTTAGGTAGTTTTGTTTGTTAAGTTTGTGCCTGTTGATGTAGTCGTAGTATAATCGTAGACGTATAGTCTTAAGACTGGTTCACACACTTCCGTTTGAGTGTAACCGACTGCGTTGCTACCACTTGTGACTGCTTGCGACGAGGTAAAACACTGGCGCCATCTGTCGGATTGCCCTGGCCCTCTTCCGGTCTGCCTATGTTTCCGAATTTTTTTGCACATTATTCTTTCACCAAGGACTCGATTCAATTATGGTGGTGTTATCGGCGACCACTTCTAGATACAACGTATGTCTGGTCTCATAGATGCCGCATATACTCCAGCCAAGTTCAGGAAATACGTGCAGACCGGAAGTGGGCCGGCGCTAGCCGACAGATGGCGCCAGTCTGTTCTCTCGTCGTAAGCATTCCCAGGCGGTGGCAGCACAGTCGGTCCCACTGAAATGCAAACGTGCGGACCAGCCTTTAGGAAGACTGGGTACACAAGTCCGCTGACGAGTTTGTGCCTTATGTTTCATTGGCCCTTTGTTTCCTTTTCTTTGTTTCCGGTTCCCAGGGGGCGTCGAACGTGGTCCGCGTCAAGGTGGCTCAGGATAGGACGGCTAAGCTCATGAAGAGCTGAAAGAATTCGACGGCAGACCAAGGCACTCGCGACGCGCGAGGGCCGATGATTCTCCTGATTTTATATCCTCCGGGTTTCTTTAGGTGTCCTTTGGGGACCTCCTTTCACTCGCACCTTGTACATGTTTTTTTTTTTTTTGTTTGAGCGCGAAATTATTAATGCGAGTGGAGGAAACAAAAGGTTCACGAGTGATTTTTAGTAACCAATACATAGAACTAAGGAATGGGCGATCCCTTGAGATCGCCCACCCCATTTTTTCTCTCAATTTTTTAACTCTCCCATTTGTATTTTCGCAGTAATCTTTTAATGGCACCCAGTTCACCGAAACAATTCTTCCACAAATCCCAGGGTATTTTCTGAATTTAAAAGGGGGAAAAGAATAAACACGAAAGGCAGAAAACAAATCATGTCTTATGAAGGCACCAATAGTATCCCGTTTCAATTTCCTTTCGTGCTTTTTGGTACCTGCTTGTTTGTTTCAGGGATGATGTTTGTTTGCGATTATTATTTTTACTTTTGGCACTGTTTGGTTGTTATGTCGCACATTCGCATGGGACTGCATCTTTGCCTTTTGTGTTATTTGAGATTGAAACGTTGTGACTATGATTAGGTCTTGTTTTGTTTTATTTTGGCAGGGTGCTCGCTTCCGACAAGAAGTTTATGAAAAAAATTTTAAATTAATTTATTGTGAAATTTATGTTTCGTGTTTTAAATGTGTTTCTTTTTGTTGGCGCAACCAAGCAAACTGGGGTGATAGACTGAATCACCAGACCCATTCATTAAGTCTTCAAAACTCGGGTATAAGCAAGTATTTCTACACTGACATATATCTTAAGTAATAATTATATTAATCATTACATAAGTATGTAACTCTAAAACACTCTCTTGTGGAATCTGATGCGTTTATGGGAAAACTAAGCTATCCCTTAATTAATATGAGTGAGGTGAATTTTAACGCCAGCTTTCTAATACCGTTACTATGGTAAAATTGATCGAGTAGCGGGATTAAATCGATTGGATTTCTCTACTGGACCACGGCGTCATTTGATCGCGCTGATTGGCTGGTTTGTTCACGTGACACTACGACACCCCTTATTTGAACCCCGAGGAGCGTTTTGCTTGGTTGTCGTGAAGCAGGCGCTAAGTCTATACCTGTGATCATTTTCGGTAAGATGTATGTACTTAAGTCACTTAAGTTGCTCGGTTCCTGTTTTATAAAGTGTGTTTCTAGATTTATTTTTTTTTTTTTGTTTAAAACGAAGTGTCATTTTGATTTGCTAATCTAACTCCTCCTCCGCTAGTTTTGATTTGCCTACCAAGTTTATTTTTGTTTTCTCTGCGATGTTCGTTTGCTCTGTTTTGCATATCACGACGCCGAGTTTATGTATGCACCTTCGACAATTGGACTTTGTTGGTATGTAGGCATCATGTAGTTTTTGTCACCTTGCCGGTTTTGCTGTACTGCTTTCTTGAGGTTCGGGATCTTTCACAGATTGCGTTTGTTTGTAACCGTTAGCGTTTCGACTGATGCCCTTTAATGTTTAATGTATATATTTTCTGATTTCAGTGTCGCACTTGTAAATCAATATATTGGTTAACCTTGCCTATCTACCTGAACACAGTCGCGTCATTTTTTTGGGCCGTCACCAGTATTATTAACGTTGGGGCTGTCGTTGGGAGTTACGTTCTGTGACGCTCATGAACCACGCGCGAATGAAACGCAAGTGTGGCGGACTACGCCTGTCACTTGTTTCTTCAAAACACATGACACGAAGTTGACGATTTTTTGTGTGTGTGTTTGGCGGGTTTTCTGCACAAAGCACTCTGACAACTTCCTCCATTCTTCTAGAACAACTGTACGGGAATGGGAAAAAAGGAAACTGTTGGGGATGTACCGAGCACGTACTCAAACTGGTTCACTTTTATTGTTATCTCGTTGAGAGGAAAGGAGAAGGTAGCATGGTACAGGCTGTTAAGTTTTGGGGTTGTTTTGTGTTCGTGGGGTTTGTTTGTTGTGTTTGAGAATACCGATTGAAGATCCGTCGGGAGACGACGGATGTTACGAGTGATATGTCTGGCGAATTTAAGTACTAGTGAAAGCTTAAGTGTGAGTTTTTCGCGATGCACCCGATGATCCAACGTCGATCTCAAAGTTTGTTGGAAGTGAAGCTTACGGAGAATTGAAAGTGGTTGGCGTGTTGGTGGCTGACGATACATTCCCTCGAGAAGAAACACGCTCGCAGTACCATTGTGCTGTTTTTCGTCGGGGACAAAATTGGCTGCCTTGTTTGATTTGCGGAATGTTTCCTTTACGAATCTGCTTGCCAATATTTTTTTTTTCTTGCCTCTGTGAAGCGCCGACTGGTTTTGTTTGTTCTTTCTTGCTGTGCCTAACCCCTTGTTTGAATCGTGCGTTGGAACAATTTTGCCGATTTGGGCTGTCGATGCGTGCATTGTTTCACCATCTTCAATATGTTTTTTTTTCCTTCTCTCTTCATCCTCCTCCTTCATCACCCAAAACTTCCCAACCTCCATTTCGTTCTGATTTGTTTGTCTGATTATATGTCCTACCGTTTGCTGCTGCTTTCAAATATAACGTTTTTCTTTCGGTTTACCTCGCTTTGTCGTTTTTAATGTCCCCTGTCCTCGCCCGATTTGCGACGTACTCATTGTCATCGACATTCTGATCCCCTTTCTCGCATCACACCCTCCCCTCTTTATTTCTCACTCTCCCTCCTTCGCGACGTTGGCGCCATCTCCCGTAGACGGAGTCCAACAAGTTACGCATCGAGGAAGCCAATAAACGGGCCACCAAGCTGCTCAAATGAAGGTCGATCGAAGCACCGCAGCCGCTGCAAGTGCTGGGACCGGAAGCAGACGACGCCGCCGCCATCTTTCCCTACGACGTCAGCGCCACCTGGCCAATCGAAACGTATTTGCGCAGGCGCAGTCGAACGAGTCGCGCATCTCGGTGGCCAATCAGCGCGCCACCAAGCTGCTCAAGGACTGAGCAGCGGGTGGTGGTTCCCGGTCCATGGTGGGCGAAGAAGAGGGTCAAGATGGCGTCGCTGTCGTCGTCGTCTCCTCGCAGTCGTCTGCTTGTTACGCGGTTTCGGTTTCGTTTCGGCACGGATGCCGTCTGCTTCGGTTTACTCTTGTGGCTCCCCCGCGTCCCTTGGCGTTTGTGAAGAGTTTTCGCTTCCTGCTTTTATTTTTTCTTTGTTTCTCTCTGAGGTTTCAGGTGTTGTTGTTGTGCATCAACTGCGTCAAGTTTCAGGTGGACGCACAAAGCGTAGATATTGTCCCGATTAACAACAACCGGAAGAGGTGCGATCCCTGTAATGGTGAAGGACGGTTTTTCCTCTAGCTGCGCCTATCTTCCGGTTGAATTGGTCGGGCTGTTTGCTGTTGCCAGGCGCTTCATTCGAATCGTTTTGTGCGCTACGGCCCTTGTATACGTTACTAACTGGTATGTGATCAAATCTTTTCGCGTCAGCTACGGACCACTGATTTGGATTTGAATATTGACTACCAAAAAATAAACAATTTATTTGGGTCAATTAGTCACCAATTATGTATATTAAAAAAATTTCGATCCGTCAAAAATAAATCTTGTTGGCACTACGTTTCTTGTTTTTAATGCTCCGGCAATAGTTCTGTTTTTCTTGTTTTTTTATCCTCGTAAAATTATTTTTTTTTATGCGCACAATGTTTGTATATGTTATTCGAATCAAAATCGTTCCTGCACATATCAGAACCGTGTGTTCGACCACCTGATTGGTGTCTGCGTCACGCCTGGTCTACTGGTCGTTTTAAGCAAGCATGTTAAACCTAAACTTTCGACAACAACAACAAAAAAGAATTGTTCCTGAAGTTTTAGTCTTTTCAGTGTCCTTATCGCGTTGAATTGTGCAATCTGACGGCCTGGTGGTACCAGTCTAATAGTTGTACGAGTCCACTCGCAGATATGTGAAACGCCCCATTAGAAGGGATTGGATTGTAGAGGCCTAACCTTCTATACAGGGATTGGGCGATCACACACGGGCAACCATGTCAGTCCTCAGCGTCGCCAACCGCCGGTTGTCGGTTCGCTGAGGATGTGCGATCATTTGTCGAACCTAAGCTCCGACTGGTTTCGGCAAACCTTCGAGCTTCTTACAAATCCGACGAAGTTCCTCTTGCACAGTGGGAACAGGTATCGGCTCCGGGTTTTGTGATCACGAAGAGTTTATCCTGAGCTTCCGCTAGCTTAAGGTACGAAGAAAAAAAAGCGTTTCATGTCTCTCAAGTATTTTGAGTGCCACAAAGGTGTATCTCTCATATCTGCGAGTGGAGTTAAGCAGCTATAGCCTGATCTGTAAAGTTTCCTCCGTTTCAGGCAATGCGCGCGTCGCAGACCAGCATGACTTGGCTTCGAAGAAGAAAAGTCTTCGTTTTATTGCTTCAGCGGGGAAGGTAGCGGTCGTCTGTACGACGCTGTAATCGGTCAAGCACAAAGTAAACAGAGAAAAGTTAAAATGCATTCTTACTTAATTTTAAAGAAGAGAGAATTTTCGAAAGTCTCTTATTCGAACGTGTAGGGTGCATTATGTTTTTTCCAGTGCGGTATCCAGTCCATTGCTTTCTTTGTTTGAAACCACATTGTTGGCATCTCTTTAACATAACACTTATGGTAATAACGAGCAACATCACGGTTAAAGAAACGAGGTGGAAACTCTCGCCTCTGGAATTGGGGCGAGTGTTTTCACTTCTTTTTACGACGGTGGTGGTGCGTGTTATAATGGCAAACATGCTTATCTGTACGGGCGATATGAGAAATTGGGATTAGTAGTAGCCATGGTCGTGGCGCCCGCATTGCCTGGAGACAGAGTCCGACACCTTTGATTGTTTTGGTCCTTCGAAATCAGGAATACATTTTGTAGTTGGTCGCCAGAAAGGGCCGAGAAATTTTTTTATAAGAAAACTCGTGCTCAAAGAATGTTGTACAATCCTTGTTTTGGGGTCTCAAAGCAGTACCCTTTGCCTGTTGAAGGAGCAATTGATGTGTTAATATTAAATGACCACAACGAAAAAGAGATGGCACTCTTTTCGCGAAAACTTTTTGGTGCCATCTTTGTGTGGCTTAGCGCAACAACGGTTTGCTCTCACTTATTTCATTTCTGTGATGGGACGAAAAAAAAAATTTCTCGTGTTGTAATTTTTTTATTATTCACTTTGAGCGGATCGGGCTCTCACTAGCGCCTCCTTTCGTTCAAATGCAAGTGCACTTACACGTTTGCGTTTCCGACGTTCCACGCTGTTGAGTTGTGCTTCCTCGCCGCTAGGGGGATTCTCATCGCATCTAGTTTTCTGGTAGTTGGATTTTGTGTTTGGCTTTTTGTGTTCTAGAGTTCCGCGCCGGTTTCGTTCCAGACGCTGACGGCTCACACTCGCGAGGTGCGCCTCCTTGAAAGAAGCCACCCGGCTCCCGACAGTGGGGGGCGCTCGCGTCGGGTAGTGGGCGTGGCCCACCGTGGCTACGCCCCTTCCGGCGCCATGCGTGACGTTGCTGGGACGTTTGAACGCGCGAAGCCCTTACTGCCGGGGCCACGTCGGCCGTTCTTCAAGGGCGCGCGCCCGTGTCGAGGGTCCTCCATGGTGCGTCTAGAAAAGACTGGGACCTCCGCGGTCTGCCGCAGTATGTTTGATGACCCGTGTCATCCGGCGTCGAATCACGGGGTGTAACACGCCTTGTGTGTGTTGACGTAGTTTTCTTACAAGGCAACTTTGGTGACGGCTAGCAAGAAAAAGTAACTGGTCATGTGTCAATAGGTGACTGTAGTTGCTTTCGTGTCTTTACCAACACCGTCTAGAGTCAAGGCCCGTGAACAGCGTTCTCGACCTTTATGGAACGTCATCAGCCTAGGATGGCGCCAGTTCATCACCTGGGCCTGACGCCGACGCCCAGTGTCGGCGTCGAAGGGCGCTCTGTCTCCTCTCGATCTCACTGCGCAGGCTTCGATTATTCTAGGTGGTGTTGATCCGACTGCCGCACTGCTGCGAAGCGGCTACGTCCCACAGCGTATTCTCGAATGTTGGTGACGTCACCCGACTCCGATGTCATGTGAGGGTGACGTCAGTGGCGGCCGCGGGGACACCTAGCCCCTTCGGGATGCACCACGGGGGTCCCGCTATTTTGACGCCGCTACCATCCGGTGGCATGTCGTCGAGACTCAACGAAAGAAGGAAAACTAAGAAATAAAAGAAAATACGAAGAAAGACATCACGAAAGCGACATTTTCCTACCGTGTACGACGAGGAGTGAGGAGCTGACGACTCGTCTGTGTCGTCATCGTCGCACGTTTCGACGAGAAGAACGCGTTGTCCTCGCTGACGGTGATCGCATCTCGACTTCTGTTCTTTTGTAGACTCGTTCTTTTTGGTTTTGTTTTCTTCGAGCCCTGTGATAACGTAATGGAAGGAGAGCGACCAATTCGGTTTCGAGAAGCCGTAACCGGTCCTCGAGCTTCGAATGGGAATGCGATGGCCTATAGTGATCGAAATAGTGAATACCGCAGCCCCCTATAGTGGGCAAGCGGGTTCTGGTAAACCTGCAAAGGTTTGTCGGCTGTCGTGCTTTGGCGAATCACCCTCGTGGTCGTGTATACCGGCACTAGGGTCGGTGTCTCGGTTGTTGTTTTTTGTTTTGTTTTTTTCCTCGTACACTTACGGATCGATGTTCTAGCTTAGCTTAGCTTTTTCTCCTGGTTGTGTAGACTTCGTGTTCGTCGATCGACCCCGACCTTCCACACTACCTTTTCGACTTGTCGGTTGTTACGAATTGCTTTGCTGAATAACAAAACAAAGAAATAAAGGAAAGGGGACGACATTCCCTGAGCGCTCCGTTGTCCCAGGTCAGCTAACGATGTTGAGGAAACATAACGTGTGAATATTTCTGTGGTCTTCATCCTAAGAGTTATTTTTGGCCGCAAACGTTGTTTCTAAGAACAGATTAGACTCGTTGGTAGAAGAAGCAGGAAATATTTATACCGTTCATACTCTCGATTGTTTAAAGTACTCGTGCACATCACGACAATGGCAATGGAAGCCACCTTAGACTGTATATTTGGTCGTTCCTATCCGTTTAACTAACAAAGTAAGACTAACCTTCTGTGCTTACTGATGAAGGCGTTACCTGAGCGAGTGTTTCATGAAAATCGTAGAAAGTACGCTTCGGTCATAACCTCCGCGGAAGGGAAGGAAACTACTCGAGCGGTCGTCTTGTCAATACAATCGCATCTCGCCCCCCTAACGCACATCATATTAACCGACATTAATATTCCTCACGCTGTTTCTCATAAAGCTGTACTCATTACACCATTATAGTTCTCGGTATCTACAGACTGACGCGTCGCAGGACACAAGTTACGAGGAGTCTTAAGGTCGGTTCAGACACTTGCGTTTGAGTGCGTTTGACTGCGTTGCGTCGAGAACCGAAAGCGACTCACCGGCACATCTGTGCTTCGTATGAAGCGTGCAATCCAATTCAAAGAACCATCTTAGCACGCGATATAAGTAGCAGGGATGTCCTGGTTTCTCGCTGCCGCAACGCAGTCAAACGCAGTCAAACGCAACTGTCTGAACCAGGCTTTACTTTCTACGAACCGCCGTTGTTGACCGCCTACGCGCTTGGAGGATAAGCTTCCTGAGATATACTAGGTGCTGTCGATGGTTATGTGTAGTTCCTTATTAACCCGAAGACGTACTGCTACACGGATGGAAAGACTTCTCTGGAATACTACTCCATAGTCCGTGACGTTGAATAGAATTTTCTTGTGGAAGTTTGAAGCTTGTTCGGAAGCTGAAGCTGTCGGGTTAGAGGGTGTCTTTTCTCGGCGTTGTTTCTGGTCTGTAGTACCTTGTTCCATCGATGTTGTGACAAACTTCGAGTGAGATTTGAAAGGAAAAGAAAGGAGGAAAGGCAACAAATGCATTCCATTCATTGCGACAGGGTGAAGACGTGCGAAGTGAGCGAGAAAGAAAAAAGGAAATGGTGTGAATTAAGCTCGATAAGCCTTTTCTTGCTGGGGTCATTTCACATTTTCTGTACATATAAATAGCACGCGGTGTTTTAGGATATCGTTGGAATAGCTGGATTGTACTTTTTTTGTGTGTTTTCTCCCTTGCTTGCTGCGTTGGGAGAGTTTCAACCTTAGCTAACATGGCAGTATTGTTGTATGAACTTTCTTTTTATAGTTTTCTATTATTTTTTATATTACTTTTTTTCTCACGATTTTATTTGCGAGCATCCATGTATCGCTGAAAAATCGGTTCCGAAATTAGAGAGTACTCTATCGTGCGGCAAATCACAATCGCTCACGTTTCGACATGTTGCCGATAATCGACGGCTACAATAGCGTTTTTTTATGTATCTTTACAAAACGGTAATTGTTTCCAGACGCACGGGACTGCTGTTCATTTCACGAAAAATGACTAGAAGCGACTAGCGCGTCCTGGAAAGGCTAGTAAATGTTTTACGAAGGGCTAGTGTTCCGTAGATTTGGGCAGATTGAATATCGGCGTAAGAATTGCACGACACAGTTTATTGTAGAGATAATCATTAAGGGAGGGAAAATAATTCTATAATCTCAGCTGAGCTTATCGTCCCGAACCGGTTCGCCTGGTTCTATCGCGCTCACTACTACAGACTGCAACTCGACTTAATTGCCTGTAATCCGGAGGATTACGTTTACATAAAAATGCTCGCCAAATGTTACGTTGTCGACTCTCCGAAAAAAAGAAAACGATCGCGTTTCATGTATTTTGATCCAGACTCGTGCGAAAATATCATGGAAAGAAAAGCCTTCTGCAACGATAATGCAAACTTGTTTGTTTATTACTGTTATATATTTTGTATCGAAAGTTACCATTTCATATATGTGTGACTACATATACGGCTTGACTCCCTGTAAAAGAACGGTTCATTAGTGCACATTTGTACATAACGACGTATATACATATATATACCGACAAAATATGTATACAGACATATAGAGATCGCTTATTTTTCCGCAAGTCGCTCCCAACTATAATCTTTTGAGTACTCGAGTTAATGGTTCATGGTAACTTGGAGATTTTAGTCTTCGCTTCGACTTCTATAGTATGTGTGTAATTCAGACCGTTTTATTTTTCTATTATTTTTCATTGAAACTTCGGTTGTGTTTAGAGGGTTGTCGCAAATAATTCTCGTTCTGTGTTAATAGAGTCTGACGTGGATTTTTCTCACAGCGTGTGTTTGTGTGTAAAGCTCTCTCTCTCTCTCTGCCTCTCGCTATGTCTTGCATATATCTTGTAAATGGCACCTTTCTTTTTTCTCGTGATCGCGTTAATTATTATAGTTGGCAGACAAGTCCGCGGATTCTCGAACTCTTTCTTCTTCGAGTTGTGTTTGTAAGATATCACCACTACAAGTGTGTGTTGGTTGCGCGCTTTTAAAAGCGTAAATAAATGAAAAAAATGTTGGCAAAACGAAGAGTTGTTTGTGTGTTTTTATTGTAAACATCTCTGCGTGATGTTTTTGTTTTTCTGTCTTTAGCTTCAGGCGGGTTGTTTCAGTCATAACCGACCTCTATAAGGAGTATTCACTGGGCGCCATATTTGTGGGTGATGTTTAGAGCGCATGCTCTGAACGAGCCCACATTAATAGGCTGCTAAGACCGGCAATCTTGATGGTGTGGAGTGCGCGTTGCAAAAGAACTGTGGAAGCTCGCCATCAGCACGCGCTTAGCAGTCGCGCACACAGCTATGGCCGCCAGTGAATACTTCCTATTGAAAAACTAGACGAGGTAAAAATATTATAAGTAAAAGCAACTTGATTTCTTTTTAGGTAAAAAAAAAATATACAACTCCCTGTAACGCCGAATTAGAGCGCAGTTCTTGAGGACGAGGAGGGAAGGGTACTGAGGGTCACGTGTTCTCGAGGGGGGAGGGGTCACGTGACCCCCCCTCTACACCCCCCCCCCCCCCCCCCCGAGGTCACGTGACCTCGGGCGGGAGAACCTCGGGTTCCTTTGGGAGGACCCCCCGAGGTCACCGAAGGTACCCGAGGTCCTCCCGAAGGAACCCGAGGTCCTTCGGGAGGACCTCGGGTTTCTTCGGGAAATTTACCCATAGTGCACCGCGCGGTTACGCCGACGGCGACGCCGACGCCGCTCAAGCCCGAAACGGGCGCCTAAGAGCTGGGCTCTCAAATTAGAAGTAAACTGAAAGGAACTGAATTTCTTTTTATTATTTCATACTTTCTGGACGCAATGATCTGCGTTGTTTCGACCCCAAGCTGAAACCCAACAAATTTCCTATTTCTTGTGTGCTTACCAGCTGAAGCAGAGAAATTAACAAGGACTAGTTCGCCGTTCAAAGGGAACCTAAAGCGGTTCTGTATTTGAGTGAAAACACGTTCACCGTCTTCATTTGGCCTTCAGGATCACAAATGTCGAGATGATCTTTCAATCTGGTGCACGGATGTCTGCAGTAAATAATTTTCAAAGTACCGCCGAAGCCCTTCCTTCCCGGGGAGTGACGTCACAATTGGAGATTTCGGAATCTTAGCTCTCGCGCATCTTCAGCGCCTATCAAAGCTATAAAAGGGTCAGAAAAAAAACTGTCAGCCTTTCCACTCTGGGGAAGAAGGAAGACTAGCGAAGCTGTACTATGGTGGGAATGCAGTAATGGCCGGCCGCAAGTCGCCGAGCCAGAGTGGAAAGGTTCGAAAGGTTGCCGCCGTCGCCAATAGATGGCGGTAGCTGTTCAGAGTCCTGTGTCGTCATTTGTTTGCTGACGGACACGACCCTTGGGGAAACAAGCGCTTAACCAGTCCGCTGTAAAAGACGTCACGACTGGTGTCAGTACAGGGGAATATAGGCGCCTTACACACGCGGAAGATCACAGCCGCCATTGCTGACCTACTCTTGTCTTACCGAGATACCCGAGCCACTGAACCGTTGGCGAGCCTCCACACAGGCAATGCTGGGGAGAAGGAGACGATTGAATCTAAGGTGGCAATAACCTGGCCTGCTATGGTAATAGTGAAGTAGAGTAACTGCAATAATACTTAAAAAAACAAGCGAGCTGGTGATGATTCAGGGTAATTAAACCCGAGACTCAGGAACATAGAAGTGTTGTGTTCATCCCCTCTGTGTTCCTGAGTCTCCGGTTTTATTACCATGAAGTAGAGTAAACGAAATAAGAGGGAACAAAAACTGAAGATCGGTTATGGCGGCGCCCATACACACCTGCGGCGAAGCGTCTACACCTGGGAAGTTTGCAGTTGCACGCGCTGCCCACACGAGCGACATGTGATTGGTGGCCGAAAGATTCCAGTGTGACGTATTCGCCTCGAGATTCGATCGGCACGGTTCATGTGGTGAAAAGAACTACGCTTTCGTTTTACACTGACGTGGAGCAAAACGGGTGCTATACGCACGTGAGGCCGAATCGCCTCGGGAGGCGCCATTGCAGCGCTCGCGCATTGGAATCAACTGCTAAGAGCTCGCGCTCTGTACTCTTGTCCGTGCTCTCTGCCGTTAGTGTGGATGTTTTGTCTCTAGTGCCACTAAATAAGCTACGCTTCAGAGTACCGACACTTGGCCATATTGTGTCGTAAAATCATGGTTACCAGTTATCTGAAGCTTTATCTGAAATCACAGGAAATGCTTTTCCGCCCTCCACAAATGTTTAAACCGTCCGCGACAAAGCAAAGCAATAATACATGACCTTCCTATCACCGAATCTAATGCTGAGGAAGTCGCATTTTTGAATCATGAGGATCGACCGTTGCGTCTGTTCTGCATACGAGCCAAAATGGCGGCGCCCACAACAATGTCGGGGAACGGAGTGCCGATACTCTAAGCGCAGCTTATTTAGTGGCTCTATTTGTCTCCACTCCACCCGCATTGCGGACGAAAGGAATGACCACGTGCCTCATAGAGAACCTTGGATAGACAAAAGCACACTTCCCCCAAATTTCAATCCGGGCCTCGAGACCAACACCGACTGGTCGGAGGTTTTTCGTGTTTCTCGCGTTTAGTGGAATCCCTGTGGAAAGCGAACGTAATATTCAAATTCACGGAACCAAAAAAAGAAACCTCCAAAATTAATTTTTACTTTTTTTTTCGTTTTTAATAACCTCTTTAATTATTTTTTTTTTATGTGGTGAAATTACGAAAGGGTAAAAAGAGTGGCGGAGGACAGATGGTTATATATCATATAATAATCCTATCTCACAAACATCTTCGGCACGTGCTCGAGAGCGTGGTTTTAGAAAGTGCCGCATTCGCGCGAGTCTACGCACCTGCGTCTTTGTCAGTGCTGTAGACATTTGTGAACTAGAATTAACATATTTTAGATAGCAATAGCGTGTAAAGATGTCTACCTTCTGTTTTGCAACCCTGTGGTAAAACCGAGCTCGATGGAATATGTCAATTTTTTTTTTCATATATATATATTAATATATATATATATTTTTTTTTGTTTGTTTCCTGCCCGGTTGATCCCTTACCGTCTTCCCTCACACGACACTTGACACAACGAGTCACTGAGTGGACGACCCTGCTGCTCAGCTCCGACTGCGTTCTCCAACTCGCTGCGAGCCGAGCAGGTCGCCGCCCGGCCCAGTCCGCCCGGCCACTCTGCAGGGGAGGCACCACGCCGGCCGTTGGAGAAGGAACCCACGTTCTGGATCTTATGAGGCTTTCATAAAGTTTACTCTCTCTGTCTCTTTCCATTTTGAGCACTTCTTCACCGTTGGGAGAGCCAACAAAAGGCTCGAACATTGGAAACAAGTACCGCCTTTAGAAACTGTATCATAAGCTATAGCTTTACTTTTAGTTATACATCTCTTCGATTACATTAAATGACTCGTCACACAATACACAGGGTGGCTAGCGGTGTTGTCCTGGTAAAGACACCGCGCAGCCATTGTGCCAATACCGTACCGGGGCCTTTGAGGGCGTATCACAATTAATGTCGCCGCAAAAATGGCGTCGCTCCTGTGTCACAAGACGCAGTGCGTTGCACTTTGTCACTGCTTAGATGGGAGAACGGCTCCACCACAAAAATGGGTCCCCTGGGGCGCTTGAAACGATCTCCAAAAGTACACGGGGAAGACCGACGACTGTGGCGGATCACCTGCTTGGATGCCTGTAACAAGGTAAGAACTTGTACTGGGTAAAAAGGTTAAACTGGCGCGTAGAAATAGATCGCTTTAGGGGGGTACAGAAACCGAATTTCGGAGTTGATCGATTTACTTTCTCGTAAAGCGGGTTAAAGTAAGACTTCACCAACACCGATATTTCGTAGGAAAACGTGAGAAAACATAATTTAAACAACTAAACCATAACCAAAAATTATCTGATGCATACCTGTGAAGCTTCGATGGATTGTCGTGACCACATCATGTCAGTAAGAGCAGCGCCACAACGGGAAGTACGCTCAGTCATAGAGATTGCCTAGGCCTGAGCGTTGTACCGAGGCGCTTTGGTGAAGAAAGTCACAGCAGAGTTGGCGACCATTGGCTTCAGTTTCGGTCGGACTTGTCGCCTTCGCCTGTTTGGGGCGGTGGCTTGGGATATGTGTCCGTGCGATGTAATGTCGCCGTTACGGAATGTCTATTTCAAAGTGCCCGAATATGCCGATGACGGGAAAGCCGCATTAGTCGACTGCTACGAGCTCGATCGCTCCGAGGTCAACACCACTACCATGCATTGTTGCAAAAAAAAAAAAAAAAAAAAGACGGCCCGCACGCCTCTGCAAAGGGGCGCACAAGTAAACAAATCGCCGCGGCGTCTTTCGAGACTTTGGGGAGACAGGAAAGAGCCGACGTCCAGGAAGATACGGTTGAACTAAAAGACTGTGAGCAAGAGTCGCGTAAAGACCTGTTCCCACTGGGAGCGGAACCGCAGTCGTACCGCGCTCTTTTGGCGTTTTTGTTTTGAGGAAAGACAAAGACCAAATTCAAGACCGGTGGTCTTGCCGTATGTTCACAAGGTGTCCCACGGTATCAAGAGAGTTGCTAGTAGGTACAATTGACCAGTAGTGTTTTCGGCACCATCCAAGTTGTCGCGTCTGTGTGCAGCTGTTAATCGAGGTGGGCGTCTGGGAGCGCAATGTGAAGTCAAACATCACAACCGGTATGTCGCCTGCGCCTGTGGTGGGGTGTACCTGATCTTGTCCTGTGGCTGAGTGTACGTCAGACAGACGGGGATGTGCTTTAATGTCCCTACGGAAAATAAGTCTAAAGGGCCCTTTAAAACTTTTTAAAGGGTTTGAGGGGGCCTTCAAGAATTTTAGCAGGTTTGACGTACCCCTAAGGGAGTCTAAAGGGCCCATCAAATCGTTTTGATGGGTTTGACGTACCCTTTAAGAAAGTCAAAAGGGCCCGTCAAAACCTTTTGAAAGGTCTAAGGGGGACTACAAAGATTTCATAAAAGGTTTGAAGGATCCAAGAAAGACTTTTAATGTGCATTGAAGCCTGCA